ATCACAGTGAGTGGTGATGAAACATGGAGGAAGGGAAGTGGAAGGAGGGTGTGACAGTTAACGCTCCTACCCCACTGATGCCACCCTGGAACAACTCTCTCTCTTCCTACACCAACGGTTCAAATCCACCCACGGTAAATGAGACACCGTAGTTACCCTGAGCTCTCGAAATATTGCATTTTATAATGCCGGATACAGGCTTACTGAGCCTCCCTCTACACCCACAAGGTCGCTTTACCCACATCAAATGCGTCTGGGAAGGTAACGGCATTTATTTCTAAACCACTTAGCAACCCCTCCATCTGGCCATAGCAGAAGATCACCTTCAAACAGAACTGCCATTTTTGAAGGGATGTCGAGTGTGTGGCGTGCCACAAAACTGAGTGAAATAACTCCGAGCAGTCAAAATTTTTGGTACCAAACGTATCCCAGTCAGACTGTGTTTCCCTGGTGTGAAATTGCAGTTATAGATTGAAAAGTAGTAACTTGTAACAAATTTGTTACCTCGCCTGAACGACATCATTTTCAACGATGACCTGAGCATTCCAATGGAACGAATTTCGTTTGTCGTACATCGTTAAAGGATCTGATTTGCATAACTGTTCGTTCACGTGTCGGCCATTTCAACGAACACGCTTTAGTTGTCGTTACTGACGGACGTCCAGTAACGTTTCCAAATTGCCGCAATAAAACATGTTCTCCTTGACTTCTTAGTAAAGGAAGCAGTTATTGAAATTGCTTGTCTAGAACTTTACAAACTCAATTGAATTGCCTTTAAGCTGTCATCTTAACTGTTAGTCATACGACAAGACACGTCATGGCAGAATGCCGCTTTTGTCCCTACACGAGGGTACCTTAGTCTGCTGCTGCCCTTAATGGTAAAACTATGTGATAACTATTGATAAATTAGAATACTTTTTGATACCTGCCTCTGAATGTTACTCCATTCATTCCCTGGCATTTGTCGCCCTTTTTCCAACTTCATTTTGTAATTTTATGTGAAATCTTGAAAGTTTACTGTCTAAGTACCGCAAAACTGAAGCGAACTACAGGATTTCTCATCAGATTACCTTACAAACCAGTTTTCCTCCTCACTTCCCATAAATATACTTGCCTATATCTAATAAAAAGCATAAGAAAAGTTTATGGAGGTCTGTGGCATTGTCTCCACCCTATGCAGCGACGCACAGCTTGTCATCAGTTCGACCAGGAACCAGTTGATCCTACTAACCCATTCGTCCGATTGGTAGGTTGCCCTTTCCCTTGATGGTACAATATCAACGAGAAGCATAACTTCAATCTCATTTCTTCTTTGCATTGTGAACCAATTGATTGCTGTTGAGCGTTTATTTACATGTTTACTGTTTAGTGTTAGTGTTTACTTAGCGTTCACGCTGGGCGTGACTCTTCTGACAAAATTCCAGAAATGACGGTTATTTCATAGGTTGTTTTTGGCCGTGTTTAAAGCTGATACAACTCCTAAATTGCGGTCACGGAGCACTAGTAGTGCTATAATGCCTAATGATAGAGCTGTAAGCCTCCCTCTTACTAATTGAGTTTTCGGAAGAAAAAAAGAAAAAATTTCCAAAGCTGATCTTACAACAACAAAATACAAGCGCACCCTTGAAGATCATTGCTGCCAATTGGGGGCGGGGCTGCCATCTGGAGGCGGGCGAGACGGGCACCGTTCCGGATTGCAACTCTACTTTTAAGCCGTTTTTGCTGCAAAATCGCGTCACTTTTCTACCAAGCATACCGTCTACGATTTCCAGAATTCCCTATCGATTTCTGAACAAAGCTGTATCTGGGCTAAATGTATTGAGCCATTGGTCTTCAAATAGGTGTGCTAGTCAAATTTTGTAGTCCAATGCATCTAGGACACGGCAATTGTTGACAACGCAAGCAGTGACTCATTGAGGACCTGTTACTGCGTCGTTCACGATTCCTATGCCCTGAGTATATTGCATTACAAAACCTAACACGTATACTTACCAAAAGATCAATATGGTGAGTTCTGTTTTGTAGCTTACTTATGTATGTGCGAGATGCACCACAGCATTTATTACTCTTCAAAACTCGACGGGCCGCATTACCTGGCGACAGTTTACTCACAGGGCTGAATGAGGGAGCCCTCGTTGTGAAAACTCGAGATATTACTCTCCGTACAAGTTTTTCTTGACTAGCTTTACAAGCCTGGGTAAGCTACTGGTATTGTAATAACCTATTAGTAGTGCAGCAACCAAAATGCGCAATAAGCAACCAAAATGAACCAACTAACAGTAATAACTCCATCTGTCTCCAGTTGTTACATGAAAGAGAAGGAAACGAAATCCACTGAAGTGGTTGGGCAATACAAGATCCTGTAAGCAAGGACCAACCGACGATTATTGTCATTATCCAACCTTTGCATTAGTTGAAGTACTTTATTTCCATTCGTTATCACTTGTTATCATATGTTATCACTTATTACTTCCCATTGCTCCCAATTACTATCTATAAGCAAAGTCTGTTATTGTTATTATCACTTGCCATAATTTATCACCTTTTTATTCGCTATCATTTGTTATCATATATTATCACTCATTACTACTTACTATACTATCAAATACTATTTATAACTAAAGTCCTTTGATAGCTATTACCATTTACCATGATTGATTACCACCAATTATTATTTATTATTGTTCGTTATCAGGCATTATCATTCATTTTTCGATCGCTCAATTAATCACCAGCTAATCACCATAATGATCGATAATACGCAGACCTTTGCGAGGAAATGGTCGAATGCTTTTTCCCTCGAAGGAATGAGGCAGCCGGTTAAACAATGCGGAGAGGTCATTTCTCAAGTGTTTGTGGTCCTCGAATTTTTTTCTCTTGCCAGTCCTTCATTGGGCTTAAGAAAAGCTCAATCCTAACATATTTTTGGTATGTTTGAAGAATGTGTGACAGATTGAGGGTGTGTGTGTGAGAGTGTGTGTGTATGTGAGTGTGTTGTGTGCACCGTCCTCTCGACAGGTCCGCTGAGAGATTCAAGAGGTGGTCAGGGAAAACGTTTCCCCTCTCGCTATCCATACTTCTTCACTTCATGCACAAAAGCGATGAGAACCTGGAGTCAGTCTTACTTTTGCATTTATTCATTTGTTTGTTTTTTTCTGAGTTGTTAGAAATTCTGCCTTCGATCTACGAACTACCTCCTTCCGCGGCTTCTTCTTCTTATGAGCTCAATCTATCACTGTATTTTGGTCGTCTCGATTACCTTTTCTACATCATGAGATGTCGTTTTACAGGCGCAAGCAATTTTACCATAAAACGGTCCCAGATTTTGCCACGTGTCTATTTAAGAATGCGCCATGCGTTCGACCTGCACCGAGAACCGCACAAATATTAGATTCCGTACACAACTTACCCTACACAATAACCCATGGAAAAACCGTGATCCACAGTTGTTTCCTTTGTGAGTTCGACAATCCAGGAAGGGGATAGTCTGCTAAAGTAGCAAGGCATTTGATCCGCTAAGAATAGTGGAGCCGGCTATTTTTTCTCGCTGACTCCTGTTTGGGTTCGTCTACCGAGACGCTCCTTGAATGGATAGGCGAAATAGGATGACCACTCAATGATTCCGAAATACTTGGAATTACATCAGGTCGTTACTGTGTTGTTTGTTAAGTATCTGCTGCCTTGAAAAAATAACCGTGAATCATTGTTCTTTGCCACTTTTTTTTAGCAGTATTCTGTCTCTCCTTAGATATTTTGGGCCCTTTTCGTCCAATTTCTAAGATGCAGACGAAAGTCACTGCTATTTTAACAGCTGATCCGCTGCTTTAAAAGCTGACAGTCTTATTTCCATCCCAGGGTGGTCCGCTGCAAGCGTGGTCCATGATCAAATCGGCATGATCCATACGGCTCATTCATTTCTCCTGTAGCGATCGGGAAAAAACCTTCTGCAGAAGTGAAAAACTCATGTTCTGGCTAGCACCAAGTGTTATTGCACAGGCCCGATGCGCATTCAATTGCCGTCACGATTTAGAGTCGAAAGCGTAAATAAGGCGTATCCATGTAAGAGGATAATCGGCATACCATCCTCGTACTCAAACTAAAAAACTGACCTATTTTTCTTCAGAATCATGGATTCGAAACGAAATTGGATACTACTAGAAGCATCCACATCCAGCTCGGCTACTCCCATACATATTCTTGGAAGTAGACGGTAAGATATTTGGTGCTGCTCCTGCTCATACTCGCGTTTTACTGGCACAGTTTCTTCTGACTCATCTCAAAACTTTTTCTAACCCGACACAGTCAAGGTTTACGAGGTCACCCAATGACATAGGGCATTAACACAAATGTCCTCCGTAGTGACGACGAGCTATTATTCATATGTATGAGTTCCAGGGCAAATTACCGGTATTGATATAATGTTGTCTATTCAGAAGGATCACCCCGGTAATGGAACAGTATAGCGATCAGGCTCGTCTACAAACGATAAATCGGCTTAATGATCGGATTCATAAACGGATCATGAATAACTATCGAGTATGTTTTGGCAATCACCATTCATGCAAACACAAATAATTGTAAACAATCATAATGTTCAAGCGTTCTTTTGCAGTTTATATTGGTATTGCCCGATCGATTCTATGAAAAAGCTGTATGATCAACCAATACCTAAGCTTTGAACGCGGTTGAAGACATCTATAAGCCCTAAAAGTACAAGGGGAGATGGGTTATTAAGCATAGGGGCTCGGCCCGGTCATTTTCTGGGTTTTTAGGCCCTTACTACTCCCATTTATGATCTCAGGGGTATTNCTCAACTTTAGGTGGTCAAGAGCGAGGTAAGGTCAGAAATCGCGCGTATGTTGGGGCGGGATTATCCGTTACTCTCATTGGAGCACTACTTTTACCCATATCCTCTGATAGGCGATTATAGCACAGTAATTTGGATACCTCTACTGCTACTATATCAGGCTTGGCCAGGCTTGGACCAGTAAGGTTACCTCACGGTGTTGCAGTAAAAGATTCCTTGTCCCTACCGCTGCTTACCCTGAACTTCTTACCCTTTTGTGCCCCAGGGAGTGTAATTCCCACGGAACGGTATATTTCTACAGGTAGTTCTTCTTTGAGTCAATCCTCAAAATGAGGTATGCCCTGCCTTCCCCTGGACAAAAAGACCGAAGGACAACTCTGCTGGCCTAGCTAGCCGGATAAACTGTTATTACGAACAATACCCTGATTTCAATATCCTTCCTCCCCTGCTCGATTGAGATACCTAGAGGGTTAGGATCACAACCTTTTTTCGCTTCCTGTTCGGGGTATCAAGGGGACAAGGAAGTTGTAGCTGTCAGTGCAACAGCTACTGGTTACTACAATTGTATACCCAAATTTTAATTCTACAGGGGCAGGCAAAATTTAGTGATTGCCAGCCCTTGACAGAGTCCCATCGAGATTCACAGCCCACTTGAATTCAATTTGTTTATAATATGGCCACTTTTTCCTCATTGATAGCCTGAATAAACAGTGGATCGTATGGACCTCTAACGGCTTTTGTTTGGATTCGCCCACAATTATTTTGTTTGAGATCCAGCGCTTTTCGATCCAAGGGGGCTCTCATGGAACAATAGAGGATTGTCCTCCAAAAAGCGGGGCAGACGGTATTAAGGAAGGTGTCACTCAAAATAGAAGTCCGGGAGAATTGCCATCTACCAGTTAGTAAATTAACTTATTCAGAATACTACTGATCCAGTGGCTGGTGAGGGAGCGGCGGTGATTGACGAGAGCTTCCGATTCATCGATGATGAGCAGAGCAAGTCAAGTTCGTTCTGATCAGTTTTGTTTACAGTTTTTCCATCAAAACATAGTCTTAGTTTTCCATCAAATGATGATTTGCTTTTTGCAAAGCTTCGTAGAGCAAGGTAGCAGCTCGAGCTATACATGGGTCCATTGAATATGAGCAACTAGTTCAGATACTAGAAATATAGGTTAGAATCAATAACTCTAGGAATTAGCAATACCAATTGAGCCACACCTTCAAGGTGTGCTTGTGCCCTAAGTTGACATTCTACTTTCCGGCTCCCCTCCCCCTTCTCTTTATCCCCTTTCCAACAAGTCTTGGTAGGCACAAGTTGACAGGGGAGGGGGAGAAGAAAGAAATCACGGTTGTGAAAGCTATTCGATCGAATCAGATAAACCTCAAACTTCGACCAACGAATACTGTGCTTTAGGACGAAGTGAGATAATTGCAGATCGCACGGTGTCATTATTCATCATGGAAAAATTAGGTACCGATCTATGGGACCTATGAGAATGAGTCATAGCGGTCCCTCGCCACTCTACGAATTTCATTATCGCTTAATCCTGTTAATTGTTAGCAAAATGGCCCAAGTGGGATAACGAAAAATTAATTTTATATAGCTCCAGGGTATTGTGACGACTATAACCCCCCCCCCCCCCCCCCC